ATTATAATACATTAAATAAAAACCTTTTACAATATTTAGTAGTAGTATACATTTAACTAATTAAACTTCAATATATAATCAAAAAATAAATATTAACCTTAAAAATAAAATAAGATATTCTTGAGCAGTTGATTGTATATATTATTTATTGATATGGAAATCAGCAAAACAATTTCTTCCTGAAGYCAAACACAAGTGTACTTTACACTTTTCACAAAAAAAGTGTGTTCGATGTTTTTGTGAACATTTTGGATGCTTGCATTTCGTAGGATTTTTCAAGTTATCAACACTAGGCAAATGATCTATTGTATCGTATCTTACTGCATCGGGAGGTATAGGTCTATCAGTTCTTAATTTTTTATTTGTTTGCGGAGATAACTGTGTGCATACATCTTCAGAATTAGATGAACATCTTGAACTCCTATCAGTAGAAGTATTACTAGGTTTGCCTTTTCTTTTTGGTGTTGTTAGTTTATGACAATTTATTATTTCATTAGCTAACTGCAGCCGAAAATGTAACAAATCTAGGATTTTATTTTTTTGAATGTTGAAATACTTTGCATCTTTTAAATATTGAATCCAACAATTAGCTATTACCATATCAAAAGCATGTACTATAAGTCGTAGAGTCCATTTTTTTGATTTTATAAATGTCCTATATGTACTTATAAGTTGATCGATTTTGTCAACGCCACCCATTGATTTGTTATATAAAGTTATAATTTCCGGTCTTTCTATTTCTACATATAACTTATTTTTTTTGTCCCAGCGTTTTATAATTTCAACTTCACCAGATGTAATAAAATTAGAAGCTATATTTACTGGTTTATTATCGTACCATTTCAATATGCCTAAAGAAAAGTTATTGATTTTTTTAGATTTTATTTCGTAAGATGTTCCACGTCCCATTTTTGATATTATTTTATCTGCCAAAAAAGGTGGATTAGCAAAACGATTTATCCTTATTGTTCTAGCTGCATTAATTCCTTTATGATAAAGTCGTTCAAATAATTGAAACGAAGAGAAAAAATTATCAAAATATAAGAAATGAGAATTTTTTTTTACTCCTTCTGTTAATTGCAATACAGTTGCACCACCAATTCCAAATTGCTTTTGTAAATCAGAATTTATTTCAGTAGATGCACCTTGATACAATAAAAAATCATAAACTGTACCACTTTGTCCTGCAAGTACATATATTTTTATGCCCCAAGGACATGGCTTCCCTTTCATATATTGTTTTACTGAAAGGGTACCCTTAAACGGCACCATTTGTTCATCGACACTTAAGTTACGTTCCATAACTAAACTATTACACTTTTTTTTTATTAAATCATACAAAGGTCGAACTTTTATAAATTTATCTTTATTATTAATTGAGATACTGTTATTGTCAATTATGTGTAAATTGGATCTTAGCTGAAAAAAACGATCCCGATTCATAGTATTTGCTACAACATTAATTCTAAATGCCTCCTCCCAGTACATTCGTGCCCGTGGAAATTTCAATGATCCCATTATAATATGAATCGCAATTTGTGATTTTATTTCCCTGCTGTTTGTTGGCTGGAATTGTATTCCCTTTTGAACTGTATATAACGTGGTGTTAAAAGCTATAGTATCGAAAAAATCTTCATGAAAATATTGATTAAAATAATCAATTAGTGAGGGCATAGATGTGGGGTAAACTTCATTTTCTAAATCATCTAATTGTAAGTCTAAATTTTGGAAAGGTTCATTGAGCCATTTTATACTTTTTTTTATCAGTAATGGGATAGTTATTTTCATTAAAAATAGTATTATTATCATTATCAGAGATGTTTGGCAAGTCGTCAACAATATCCTCGTTTTCAAATTCACATAACAAATCCTGAAGTTCATCATCGGGAAAAAAATCGTCCTCATTATCTATACTCCCAATATCAGAATTATAACCGTCCGATAATAATTCTAAAATATCACGCTCTAATAATTTACGAGACATTTTTTTTAAAAATATTTCTTCATAAAATAAAATATAAAAACTAATAATAATAGGTATACGTACAACACGGGTGAGTATAGAATACGATCATACAACTACGGCGTACCGCTTCATAAATGAAAATAAATACTAATGAAAACAAACGCAAGTGTCGCGCAGACCGGTGGGTCACATTTGTGACCCATTATTCAATCGATCATATCATACCATGTAATGGAAATATAATAGTGTTTACGATATTAATAGATTAAATAACTAATATTAATCTAAGATAAAAATATATAACTCGCTGTTATTATTAAATTCGTTTCTATTAATCGAAAATCAAAACAAAACATGAAACATTTTTTCCTTTCTATTTTTACTTAGAAATGTACCAATATCAACCAATATCAACAAAAAGTCATTATGAGGATAACAATAACTTAATCGTATTCTACGGAATTTCATACATTGATATGTATACAGAACGTTCGCCATACACATTTATAAGAAATCGGAGAATCAAACATTGGGTCACAAAAGTGACCCTGGGGTCTGAAAAGGTTAAATAAAAATCACAATAATTTTACACAATACTAATAAACGGTGATGCGCGGACAGCTGAACGGTCTGTACTACACTACTACGTGGGGTTGTGTGTAATACACTATAATACTGGACAAATTATATCTTATCTTAGATTTTATATTGACCGACAAACTTTTATTAATTGTGTTTATCTTTTTCCGTCAAACTATTTAATCTTGGAACTTTTCTATTTTACCATGTATAACATGTATACATGTTTAACCCATGTATTTTGACATTCTAAAAACGATGGTGYAAAAATAAATTGGGGCTAATCATTAGTTTTTAAGTTATAGCACTTTAAAAATTACGTATTTTGTAATGTTTTGTTTAAATAGCCAATATATTCGATATTAGCTCTTGTGGCGTAGTGGTAAATGAATCACGTACGATCCCGAAGGTCCCGGGTTCAATTCTGACGCCCAGGAAAAAAGAATTTTTTGCACTTTTTTACAAAGTGACTGTGCGTGTATCGGCACTCGTCGCTACGCTCCTCGGCGCCGTCGCTCCGCTCCGCACAAATCGAAAATATCCCTCGACTTGCTATGTWGTATGTACCACCACCTCAAGTAGGCATTGGGTTAAAATGCATTTAAAAAAATGTGAAAATGTAAAATGCATAAAATTTGACTGCGCGTGTTTCGGCACTCGTCGCTACACTCCTCGGCGCCGTCGCTCCGCTCCGCACAAATCGAAAATATCCCTCGACTTGCCATGTACCGCCACCTCAAGTAGGCATTGGGTTAAAATACATTTTAGGTTACTGCTTTTATAATTCAAAATAAAATAATACTCAATAGATACAATAATTACACAAAAGAAAGCAAGTTATACAATGGGAAAAAGTGCAAAAAAAGTTTGCTGGTTCCGGGGATCGAWCTCGGGTCATACAGCATGGCAACGTATGCATAMTAACACCRGGCTRCGATAACCTGATGAAAATTGGGAATTTTTCAAAGTTATTTAACATAATATCTACTAACTTTGGAGTGCCATAACTTCGTAACTATGTCCGAGCGCCAAATTCTGACTTCACCATCGTTTWCAGCGTACTTAACTACATAGATTTCAATTACAAAAATCGCAACAAAAAAAGGTGTCCGGTAAAGTAGAAATATACCTTAATCTTTAATCGCATACCTACCTAATGTACCATAGGATTGTATTTATAAAAATAAAATTAGTGTTTGACAAAAAAAACCAAGTTTTATACTTTAATCAGCAGAGCTAGAATTAAATACGAAATATTAATATTAAATTATAAATATTAATTACAAAATATACTATAAAACATGCATTTTTCGCATTTTTATTATAATCGAAATATGCAATATATTCATTTTATTCGATATATGCATTAATATGCATTTTATCCAAAATATGCAAAACAAAAACACCACCATTTATCTCATCATGAGGTGATTCGTGGACATTACTGACAAAATCAATAATTAGAAGTCACAAAAAAAACATGCTGTTGCATACAAATCCTAGYCCTGCTAATAACCGATGGACAGTCCCCACCGATCGTAATATGATACTTATGATTATTGTTGGTATAAACAATATAGGTGTAATATCATATAATATAAATGCTGAATATGCAACACATTTAATAGTATAATATCATGACGACAAATTTTATTTTTAAAATTTAAATAAAAATGGCCATATCTAAACATGATAATGGAGATAGCAAAATTAATACGAATTATCAGCTAAGGAAATTATATTGATAGTTTATTGTTTCAACTTTATTGTTTTGTCAAAAATCAATTTTAGAGAATTTATTTTTTGAATTATTTTGATGGTATGTTTAATTATTATGTTATACGTATTTGAATATGATTAACGCAATCAGTAAATGCCAAAAATATTAAATCGTGCAATAACATTTAAATTATACCTAATAAGTGATAGTCATGGTTCAGTATATAACATGAAATATTTGTTTAAGATTAAAAAATAAATAACGTTCGCGTTGATTTCGACATAGGCAGTTAATCACGAATATTGTGAACATGATTAACAAATAAAATAACATGGTATGATCCTATATAATGGCATTGTATATTGTTGTATCTTGTATAACGATTGTGATTTAAAAGGAAAAAAAGGAACACTGCTTTTTATAAATTATGTTCTTTTTTATTTTAATAATGTACCTATCTGATGTAAATCACATGTTGAGACATGGCTCAAAGTGCCAGAAAGCGTTATCAACACCTCTGTAATGCAGTGTTGCACTTTGTGATAACATTAATATATAGGTACCTATCATCTCACCACTAAATAAAAAACATGAATATAATATGAAAATTTAATATTATAAATTAAAACTTATAATAGCATATTATAAGTGTTGTTTTATTAAAGTGTTTAATCATTTTATTACCGTTCACAATAGTGTTATAAATCATAATATTCAGTTTTCTCYAATATAATTTTCATTAATTCTAGTTTTTGGTGTTGCGAAGTGTATTACAATTATTAATTAGAATATTTTCATTTGAATCAATCTTTTATAGTTTGTTCATTTTGTTATATTTTTAATATGAAATGCTCACATTGTGGACGTGAACGTGATTTTAAGAAAATTAATTCCACAAACTGGAATCGACATATTAATTCATGTAAAATAAAGCATAACGGGGGGATTAAAAGCTTGGACAGTCTCAACTATTTCATAAAAACGAATAAACCTTGCGCCTCAGGTAAGTACCTAATTTATATACTCTGATTTTTGGTACAGTATTCAAGCTTTTGTTTTCCAATTTYGTGGATGACTGAAATAAATTTTAATTTTCTAACTTTTTAATTTTATTAGTAAAAGTTTATAATGCATTAAATATAATTATATTATGCACCTAGGCAGGATTGGGCAGTCCAAAGATACATGTATCAAAGATTTTAACTAAAAGTTTGTAGGTACCAACAATTAAGAATTAAGAATTGACATATATTATTTTAAATAAAATTTAATTAAAATAACTAT